TTTTTAAAAAAGAAATGATCGAATGAATGAAATCCTAGCTACTATGATAAAGTTTAACAACTAAACTTCCACTTCTACCTGATTGGAGAGGGAAAATCAGTTTTTTTCTAATAGAGTGATACTGAGCATATCAACTAGGACAGGGCTTATAGTCAGGAATAGATGACCAACGATTAACTGGATTCCACAGGGTTTAGTTTTGTTTTGTTTTTGTGTATGTTTCTTTTAAATGCGGTTTTATTTTGTTTTCTTTGTTTGGAGGAGTTTTGTTATTGTATGGGGTTTCTGTTTGTTTTATTGAAAAAGAACTTAATGTTGGATTGGATAGAGAATCTGGAAGATTTGGGAAAGGGGAAGTATATGATGAAAATGTTTAAATTTAAAAATTGTTTTTAATAATGAAAAATAAAGATAAATCTTCAAAAAAAAACAAAGAACAATTTCATTCATAATAGTTACAAATTATCTTGGTCTAAATCTAATAAGGAGTTAAAGAACCTCTATAATGAAAACTTTAAAGAACTGAAGAAAAGCTGAAGAAGACAGTAAATAATTGAATGAAATCCATGGTTGTGGATTATCAGAATTAGTAATGTAAGAATTATATTTACTAAATTAATAGATGAATTTAATGTGGCCTTTATCAGAATCTTAATTACATTCTTAACAGAAATGGACAACACAATACAGAAAGGAATGTGAAAACTAAGAGCACTCTAATACTCAAAAAATAGAATGCCAAAACAAGAGCGATGCTAGAGGCAATGTAATGGCCAATCTCAGATTATTCTACAGAGCCACAGCTAATTACACTAAATGCTGCTAGCATTAAAGCAGGCATGAGGTTCAGTGGAAAAATACAGGAAGTCTGGGGGAAAATCCACAGCACCCTGGTTACTTAATTTTTAACAAAGGTATCAAAAAGCTAGGTTGCAAAAAAATAAATCTCCCTTGAGTAAGTAGTGATGGGAAAGTATAACATCTATGTGTACAAGAGAGGAACTAGAAGATATCTTCAAATGGACTTAAATTTTTAACTGTAGTCAAATTTGAGAAATTTAGTAGAAAACATAAGTAAAATTCTCTAAAATGTATTTTCAGGAAATAACTTCAATGATCCAGAAGATAATACTGAGCACGACAGCATGGTAATACTGGATAGCATGTAAACAAAGCCAAGCAATCACATGCACACAGAAATACATGCATACACACATATACACGCATACAAACTAAATAAACCCTGTTGCACAGTCATTACAAGAGTAATGAAATGTGGAGGAATTCTTTGCTAACTATTCATCATACTAACAATTAATATCTTCAGTAAATTAAATTTTATAAATCCACACACTTGAGACTAAGAAGAGTGGTCGGGGGCAGGGAGCTGGGAAAGTTAATTAAGTATTACAAAAATACAACTGCATAGCATACATTTGGGTTTCCTCTAGCCAAGTATGGTGTGGGAAGTCCTTTTGTATATGTGTTGCTTTTATTGATTAATAAATAAAGCTGCTTTCTGCCAATGGCTTAGCAGAGTCAAATCAGGTAGAAAATCCAAACAGGGATGTAGAAAGAGAGTATGGTGAGTCAGTGAGAAGCCATGTAGCTATCACAAGAGACAGATGCCTCCACTGGAGTCCATTGAAACTTTGCCAGTAGGCCACGACCTCATGGTGATACACAGATTAATGCAGATAGGTTAGTTTAGAATATAAGAAGTAGCTAGAAATATGCTTAAGCTATTGGCCAAACAGTATTGTAAATAATATAGTTTCTGTGTGATTATTTTGGGTCTGAGAGAAAGGGAACAAACGAGTGGCATATGACAACAGATTGAGTGTCCAGGAACAAACCAACATCCTTCACCAACACAAATAGTGTGTGACTTTGGGTTTAGATAATACTATATTTATATTTAAATACTATCAAGGGGACGGGAGATGGCTTAGTTTGTGATGGGCACGCTACACACACAAGAGGTAAAACCATGAACAGACAAAACCATGAACTTTTCATCTATCCAACTATGGATCCTTTGGACAACAGATTATTCACCATAGTAAAGAATCTACACAAGGGAAAAAAACAAATACATCAGATAAGTAATTAATAAACAAAATATGTATAAGATTCACAGTGCTAAACAGCTGAAAAAAATAAAGTGTTGCTAAAATGAACAGAGAATTAGAAAAGATTGTTACTGAAAGACAACATACAAAAGGCCAGAAAGGCACGATCATGTTCTATTCCAATATCTTAAGAAGCAAATACAAATCAAGACGAGATGGCAGCCCTCAGTTGTAAAATGACTAATATAGAAAGAAGAAAGTTGAATGTCACAGAGTATGTAGAGAAAAGAGAGCCCTTCTCCACTGTTGGTGAGATGTGAGTTGGTGGAGCCGTGGCAGAAAATATTATACCATGAACACCCCCTGCACACACACACATACACACACACACACACACATTTCTCTCTCTCTCTCTCTCTCTCTCTCTCTCTCTCTCTCTCTCTCTCATTCTTCTCTCCCTCCCTTCCTCCCCATTTTACTCCCTTATTCCTCCTCCCAGTCTGTCTCTTACCCCTCCTCTTTATTTCACTCATCCTTCTCCTATATGACTACACATGAGACTAAACAGATACAAATGCTTCAACATATGGAAGCTAATTATGTTTAATAAACTACAATAAATCAATATGCACAGGGGAATCTTTATTTGATAATTCTTATATTTGTATACCTAAGTTGAGAGTCATAATTTATCATATGACAGAACATTTTGAAGATGGTACGAAACCAAAAGTGCTCACACAGTGCAGTAGAAGGTGTGGGGACGAGCTGGGCATGCTGAATTTCATTTATTTTCCTCAGACATTTGGTTATAAAGCTAGACTATTTGAAGTTGTTTAAGAGTTCTTGAAGTGAAAAACTTACAGGCACTTTAGTAAGATAGCAGATGAGAGTGAACATTCTGGGCAGCTGTAGAATCTCAGTAGAAACAATAAATCCAGTATCTTCTATAGAGTAGTGGGCAGCAGCAGCCATAACCATAGCCACCATAGGCACCATAGCCACAGCAGCCCCCATAGCCACAGGCATAGCCTCAGCCTAGGCTGCCGTAGCCATAGCCCAGGCTTCCATAGTAGCTGGCAGAGTAAGACATGGTGTCAGGCGAGGACCGTTCACTTGAAGGCTAGTGGTATGTTTCTTCATTCTGGATGTCACCATCTGCCAAGGACTTTTATTCACCTTAGTAGCAGTTGTTGAGGAAAACCATACGCACTGCACTGTCGTACATCTCTGCCCTGTGCTTCAGAAAATATCATGAATCTCATAATCTACTGGACATAAAGGGCCGAATAACTGAGTTACCTGTGCTCCTGTAGGGTCCCTTAGTGAAATCATGGACTCTGATTTCATTTTCTACTCTCTACACTGTTCTTCATTGTAGATTAGTGAATATGTGACATGATTCTGTCAGATGATTTAGATTATTACATAGTTGTATCCTGTTTGTATTTTTTTTTTTTAGTTTGGGAAAGAAGGTGGATTATTTTCCTTCTGCTTCCTATTTTGGAATGAATATTATCTTGAGGGACATGTTTCTTGAGTCTTTATTCTGAACCACTGCTTATATTATTTACAACTTGGTTGGTAGTTGCCATCTTCTGATAATGTATTTGGATTTATTCCTAAGCACTTTGTTCTATTACATGCTGCTTTAAGATCATCCAAACATACAAGACCATTTAGTGTTCATAAACTCGGGTACTACTGTATGTTTTCCTTAGAGACCCCATCTAGAGGTCTTGAAGTTTAATGGAAGGCATTATGGTTTTGTAGGTGAACCAAGGTCATATTTATGAACTTCTTTTGAAATCATGGTCATGTGATCATTGCAGAGAAAGTAGACAGGTAACTTTATGAGTTTCTCTCACAGCTGTGGAGATATGTCTGTGGATAAGACTACTTACTGTGCAAACATGGCAGTATGGTTTAAAATCCCCAGAAGCCATAGAAAAAGGAGGGGTGTGTGTGTGCTCACATTTCTAGACTCCAGTGCCGGAGGTCTAGAAAACAGGCAGATCACTATGGCATACTGATTGCCAGCCTAACACTATGTTCCATGACATGAAAATAACAAGAGAATTCTCATAAATATTTTTTCAAAGAAAAATCTACGGATGATCAATGGTGAATTTTCAAAATCCTAAGTCAAAGTCACAATGAGATATTTCCAGATAATTGTTAATAAAAAGGATATTAGGAAGAAAATGGGCATTAGAGAACAGGGGAAGTAAACGGAACCTTGTATACAGTTAAATGCGAGGGGTTATGGTCATTCTAGAAGGTACTGTGGACACTACACCCAAGATAGGCAGACAATTACCTTGTTTTCATTCTCAAAATTTAACTAGCAGTCAAAATGATTCAGTCTCAGTGAAATATTTGCACTAACAAATTCATTGTGGCATCACAATAGCATGAATATGAGCATAGTAAAAGGTCTACAACTAGAGGAATGTTTAAAGAGAACGTTTTCTTCTATTTCCTCCATCCTCTCCTTTGTCCTTTTTTCTCCTCCTTCCTCCCCTCCTCCCTCCCCCATTCTCTCCCTTCCATAGTCTCTCACATTCTTTTTTCTTGTTCATCTCCCATTTATACACAGTTGTGACCAGGTATATATACACTAATGCACAATTCACATTTAGAAAGACTTTGGGAAAACTGATTTTTTTAAAAAAATACTTTATTTAAAAGCTTTTCTTTTCATAGAATGATAATAGACTCAGAGAGATACATTTTACAAAACATTATGATGACGAGATCGCTGCTGCACATGTGCAAGCAAATTAAGGAAGAATAATATGTAGACTTGTACTTAACTGTTATTACTCAGATAGTTTGAATTGTGAATTTCATAATTCATAATTATGGGATTTATGAAGATTTACGTACACCTGAAGTGAAGAAAGAGTGAGCAGCTACAGAATCTTCTCAGTAGAAGCCACAGGACCAGTACCTTCTATAGCACAGTGGGCGACAGCAGCCATAACCATAGCCACCATAGCCGCCATAGCCACCATAGCCGCCATAGCCACCATAGCCACCGTAGCCACAGCCATAGCCTAGGCCACCATAGCCATAGCCCAGGCCTCCATAGTATCCGCCATAGTAACACATGGTGTCAGGAGTTGGGTATATAGAGGATAATAAGCTGTAGGGTCCTTGAGCCTGGGTGTCCCCATCTGCCCAGAGCCTTTTATACACCTGGGTTGTTCCTGGGGGAAAACCACAGGCATTATAGAGTCACATGTCTGTGCACTGTGCTTCAGAAACATCACGAGTTCCATGATTTACTGGCCAGACAAGGCTGCATAGCTAAGATTATTGTACTCTTAACTCAGGTCCTATAGTCAAATATTTGATCTAATGTAATTTTCAAGTCTCAAAGTCATAATTCTTCACGCAGTTTAATGGAACATCACAGGGTTCTCTCAGATGATATAAATAAATATTTTTCTATTTTTTACATAAGCTGCATTTTCATTATCCCACCACAGAAAGATCAGTTTCCCCTTCTGTTTCATTATTTTGGAATGAATCTTACCTGGAGGAATATGTTCTTTGAATCTTTCACATGAACCATAAGCTAAGTATTGGTTATGTTGTCTTTTTACTTGGTGGATAGCTGCCATCTTATATTGATGTATTTGGATTTATTCCTAAGCACTTTGCTTTATTGCATGCTGTTGTAAAACCAACCCCAAATATAAGACCATTTAGTGTTTATAAACTGTCGGTACCCGTGTGAGGGTCCTGAAGGCGAAACTGTGAAAGGCATTATGTATTTTTGAGTAAACCAAGGTCAATATAATTTTTTTTTAAATAATGGTCACATGAGCTTTGCTGAGAAACTGTAGATACACAGCTTGATGAGTTTAACTAATAGTTGGGTAGAGAAATACTTTCTGTGCCAGCATGAGAATATAGCTGAAAATCCCCCAAAGGCATGTAAGAAGTTAGGTCTATTCAGATTCCCACACCCCAGTGTTGTGTTGTAGTTTACAAGAGGATTACTATGACATACTGATTGTCAGTCTGGCACCACGTCCCACCGGAAACACATTTCATGGGTGTAGAGTAAGTAGAAAAAGAGATTACACAATATGCTCATTTAGCAAGCACACACATCCATTCATCTGCCCAGACACCTGTGTGCTTATACCATACTCCCATACAACAAAAATGTATACATACATACATACAGACATTTACACATGCACATGCCCACAGAAAGTCTATTTTCGCATATTTGCCAAAATATATGTTTTCTAAAATAAAATATATGCAGCTAAGTGTTCAGCCAGGGAGTTTGACAAAGAGACAAATCAATGTGAACACGGTAGCTTCGTGGCAAATGTAGCTGCTGGACAATTTCATGAGAAGATTTTTTTCTCATGCTCAGTGTCCAACCTGAAATTCTTTGGACACACAAATGCTGTCAGTGGTAGAAGTTTTGATCATTAAATAACAAAGCCAGTCTTATGTATAGAGGTATGAAGAACGTGGCCTGCATCCGAAACCATACATAAAATAAAATTTTTTTAATGAAAAGAATGTATGAGGACTTCAATCTACAGAGCCAATGTAACATTCCATGGGGTATTGCAAACAGAATACATATTTGAAGAATCAAAGCAAACATCCACAAAATACTTGACATTTGACTTTTAGGTCTTAGTTTACTCTTTTCGCTTCATCCACTCAGGTGCAAGTGTCACAGTTCACTTTTCTTAACAGCTGGACTATGTTCCATTGTGTAAAAGCAACACAGGTTTAATGGGATCTTTTATGTAGATGGACAACAGGGCTGTCTCTGTTCCTTGGGTATGTTGAATGGAGTAGCAATGATCATGGATAAGAAAGTATACTATGATACTGAGACTTTTGTGTTTGTGGTCAAGCATGGTATATCTGGGTCATGTACTAGATCTATTTCTAGTTTTTTTTTGTGTGTGTGTGTTTTAAAAAATAATCTCCACACTGATTTCCGCAGTGGCTGCAGCACTTTGCACTCCCACCGGATGCAAACAAATGTTTCTCTTCTTGAATCCAGGCCGGCATTTGCAGTCAGCTGTGTTCTTCATCTTAGCCGTGTGGGTAGAAGTTACTTCATAGTCATTTTGATTTTCATTTCCCTGAGGACTAATGATGCTGAATATTTTAAAAATGATTTTCAAGCATTTGTATTTCATAACTGTGTGGCATCTGTTTAGTTCCATCCTCTATTTAATAATTTTGGTAATTTGTTTTTTTTTTTAATGTTAGGTTTTTGAGTTCTTTGTGTATTCTAGATACTAACCTTTTCTTCAATATAGACAAGTTAAAGTTTCCTCCATAATTTAGGGCCTCTCTTTACTTGAATGATGGTGCTCTTTGCTTACAGAAATCTTCAGCTTTATGGGGTCATTTTTATATGTTGGTGCTCCTAAGCCCTGTCCGATTGTGGTTCTCTCTCAGAAGTACTTCTCTGAGGCACCAAGTTCAAGTATTACACTTTCTCAGATTTCATTGATCAAATGCATTTATTTTTAATGCCAGTACCATGTTGTTAATATAGTTTTGTAGAGGACAAAAAATTAGTAAGGGACAATGTACATGTTTCTCTCTCTCTCTGTCTCTCTCTCTGTCTCTGTCTCTGTCTCTGTGTGTGTGTGTATGTGGGGGGGTACTCTTAAAGGAGTTAAGATTAAATGCTGGGGTATCAAGCAGTAAAAATGATAATGGAACAGGAAAAGTTATAAAGGTTTGTGGGGGAGAAGGCAGGAAAAGAGGAATCACTAACACTAAGAACCTTACAGGAATTCTGTATGGATACTTGCTTGCCACTATATAAGCTTCCACATATGTGTATATGTATGTATAGTATACATGTATATTTATATAAAAATTTTATATGTATTATATATTATATTTACATATACATGTGTATGCATATTCAAAATGGGGTTACCCTATAATAGGGTAGCAATATCCACAATAGATATCACAGGCTTACAAATAAAAAGCCCATTGCCTGGAATGGGTTACCTCTTTTGGAACTCTTGACCAGCAGGCTCCAATAGACCTCAAAATATTACTGGCAATTCTCAGTGCTATTGCTTACTTCCAGAACCTGACAGTAAGATCCTGTTGCTGAACATGGAGGCATCAAGCTTGTCCTGACTCGGCAGCTTCATACCTACTATGCAGCTTTTTCAGAATTGCAAGTTGTCATGCACACTTTGGAAGATAAAATACGTTATCAGTTTTAATCAACTGTGAACTTTGTAAGGTTCGAAAATGACTGGTCTGTCAATATATGTGCACAGCTGTAATAGGGACTTGAAGACCTTGGGTGTAATCAACTTTCGGATTGAATCTAAGTTCTATTTCAAAGGATGCATACATGGCACCATTACTAGGCCTCAGAGTCTGAAGTTAGACAGGTCAAAGGCCCTATGGTAGTACCTACTAGGAGTGTTTTGCTAAATAGTCTTGGTATTAAACAAAGTCCCAATGTTATTCTCATAGATTAGTGCACCTCTCAAGTTGTCTCAGAGCCATACCTAGTTTTGGTAAATGAATATTAACTCTGAGGTCAAAAACTGGACAAAGTACACATAATGAGAGTCACACACTTACACACACACAGTGGTAGTAGGGATAGAATATATATAGTTGTGGGACCATGCATGACTATAAGTAAACAAATTTTTCCCAAACAGAAAGGGGTTCAATGTATGAACTCACAGAAGCTGTGAGTGCTTGCATAAGAATAAAGTTCCAATTTGAAGTTGTGAGGTAGGTATGAATTTCTACTTTTAGCTCAGGAGCTTTTGTTATTTGATATCTGCCAGTCAGTGAAGAGTCAGCTTCTATAGGGTTGTGGCCCCGAGTAGGTCAACCACACTCCAGGAGATGGTTACCCATCCGTGAGGGTATAGGCATCCTAAATTGGACTAGACTAGTTTAAGAAAAAAGGGACCCAGTGCTGGTTGGACATAAATTAGGAGGTCTGAGAAGAGATGTGGAAAGACATTACTTTTATCCAAATATATCATATGAGATTTGCCAAGAACTAGTAGCAAAAAGGAATACATAGTGGAAACAATTCTTTTCTCAGTCTCATAAGTGATTGGCTGTGACTTTAAAAGCACAAGCAACAGAAAATAGAAACGTCTGCTTGTACCCATCTAAGAGGTTTGGAATAGCAGGGCAATCCATGCACCGCTCTATACAAAGAATGGGAATTCAATAACTGAAATTACATGGAATATCTACAAATACACCAATGGTATAATTGTTAGAGAATCATTACCAACACAGTTCAGAAGAAAATCTACAGATGGCCAAGGGGGCATTTTCAAAATTGTAAGTCAAAATTGCAATGAGATTGCTCTTTATAGTTGTTAATAAAATGGACATTAGAAAGAATACTGGTGTTAGGGAACTTGTGCAGTCAAGGGAAGCCTGTCCACTGTGAGGATGGATAATATGACAGCCATGGAAGGCATTTTGGATATTCCAAACATATTTGGAGAAGTAACATTTAACTAGCAAACAGAGAGGTTTGTTATTAGAGACATTCAGCATTAGTGAAACTATGGAGATATTAAAAAAAAATCTACCAATAGAAGAATGCTTAAAGAGAACATTCCCCTTTCTCTGTCTCTCTCTTTCTTTTTCTATCTCTTTCTTTCTCTCACTCTTCTCTATCTCCTTCCTTCCTTCCTTCCTTCCTTCCTTCCTTCCTTCCTTCCTTCCTTCCTTCCTCTCTCTTTTATTCTTTTTTCTCTTCCTTCCTCCTTATTCTCTCCCCTTCCTTCCTTCTTTGCTTCCTCCCTTTCTCTCACTCTTGTTTGCTCCCCTTCCCTCCCTCTTACTCTCTCCCTTCCCTCTGTATCTTTTGCCCTTACCTCTTCCCTCCCTTCCTCCCTCCCACCCTCCCTCCCTTCTTTCTTTCTTTTCTTTTTCTTTCTTTCCCTTTATCCTCCTTCCTTCCTCTCTTTCATTTGTTTTCTCTCCCTCCCCATTCCTCTTGCCTCCTCCCCTTCCCTCCCTCTCTCTCCCTCCCCTTTCCTCTCTCCCCTTTCTCTCTCTCTTTCTTTCTCTCAACCCCTCTCCCATTTATACACAATTACACATATGTAACCCATCAGATATAAATGCATAAACATACATTCAACATTTAGAAAATGATATTTCAAGAAAAAAAAGTTTATTTAAACACATATATGTTCAGGGAAAAGGTAAGAATGCAAGGGGATCATTCTTTCTCAGGCATTATGGCAACAAAGAATAGCTTTCTTCAAATATTAATCCCTTCAAATTGAAACTAAGGAATTTGGTAGCCATGTTGTTTCATTTCTTTTTTCTCAAATAGTGAATCATGAGGTTGGAATTTATGAAGATGCTTAAGAACATCTGAGGTGAAGAAATTTGGAATGAGAAGTTATAGAATCTCCTCAGTAGAAGCCGCAGGACCAGTACCTTCTATAGCACAGTGGGCGGTAACAACCATAACCATAGCCACCATAGCCACCATAGCCACCATAGCCACAGCCATAGCCATAGCCTAGGCCACCATAGCCGTAGCCCAGGCCTCCATAGTAGCTGCCATAGTAACACATGGTGTCAGAGAAGATAAGCAGTAGGTTCCTCGAGTCTGGGTATCCCTATCTGCCCAGGGCCTTTTATACACCTGGGTTGTTGCTGGGGCAAACCACAGGTATTGTGGCATCATACATCTCTTTACCATGCTTGAGAAAACATCACGATGTCATGATGTACTGGACAGACAAGACTGCATAACCAAGATAATTGTGCTCCTATGTCAGGGTCCCAAGGTCAAACCATGGGACTCTAATTCTATCCTGGTTCTATTTTTAAGACTGTCTCATTTTATACGGACCTTATTAAATATTTATAAATGTACTCTGCGATACAATTTAAATAAGTAAAATATTTTTATGTTTTTATTTTTTATTTCTTTTTTTGTTTACTTTTGTTTTAGTTGTTGAAAAAAAATTTCCGCCTCCTCCCCGTTTCCCATTTCCCTTCCCCTCCTCCCACAATCGCCCCCTTCCCCCTCCCCCCTCCATTCCCCCTCCCTCTCGAGAATGAAGAGCAGTCCAGATTCTCTGCCCTGCAGGAAGTCCATTATTCATTTATTTTGTAACATTCTATAGGAAGAGCGTCTTTATTGTTTTGTTCATTTAGTGTACATGTATCTTGAAGAATTTATTTTCTGAATCTTATGGTTGCTATTGTTAACTCAGTGGCTCTGTACATCTTACATATGCATAATTCAGATTTATCTTGAACTCAATGATTATTGCTGACTATTTGGGGACCAGTCCCCAGAAGTCAGCACCGGAGTATGTGAGAAAATCCGCAAAGGCAGTAGGGACTAGGCTTTTCTATCTGAGGGGTAAACAAGGAAACTCATGCTTTCTGATGTTAACCTAAGAAAAAAGGAACAAGCACACACTTTCCTGATTTTCTCCTTTACTTTAACCTAAATAGTCTTTCTTCTTGACAGTCTCTCTTATCATAGAACCTTCCTCTCCTGCCCAGTTACATATTTCAATATTCAATTACAATGTATCATCTTCCCACATGACTGCACATCTTTCTATTCCTACATTTCTCCTTTGTATCTCTTTTCTATACCGTTTCATCTTCCTTGCCTACAAACAGTAACGAATTTCCACACTGCCATAGCTATCCATCTCATTTACATATCCTCCCACCTTACAACACTTTACACAATTCTTAGGCACAGCTCCTCTGTAGTAGCAGCTCTTTCTCACACTCATTCATCCACTTGTGTTTCTTCTATCCCAGTCATTCATTGTTTACCCGCTCTCTCTCATTCATTCTCCCATCCTCCTCTCACACGCCTTCCTCACCTCTCACACCTCCCTCTCCCACAGCAGCCTCCTCTCAACACTGCTGCTCCTCTCTGCTTTGCCTTCGGGAGGCTGAGGCGGGAGCTGCTGCTAGAAGATTTGAGACTGTCCTGAGCTGCATAGTTCTTGGCCAAGCTGAGCTACAGAGTGATGCTGTCTCATAAAAAATGTAGTATAATAAGTTTGACAGTAAAATAGAGATATCTATACAGATGAGGTATAATTTACATAAGGGTAGATGTCAGAGGACCTCTTAAGCAGCACCTCTCCCTCTTACTCTACAGTGGCTGAGTATCACATTTCTCCAGATACCATCTCCGTCTGTGGTAGACTTTGTTTTCTTTGAATATGAAATTAGTCACAAATGCATAGATATGATGAAGCTCTCTCTCCCTCTTATTTCCTTTTGCTCTCGTAGTCGTTGAACACATAGCTATGACAATGAATTGAGTGAAATGTGCATACATCTTTCTATCATCTACCTATAATCTATGTATCTATCAATCATCTATCTATCTATCTATCTATCTATCTATCTATCTATCTATCTATCATCTATCTATCTATCTATCTATCTATCTATCTATCTATCTATCTANTCATAAATGTTGGGATTCTTTTCTTCTTAAATATTTGTGTGATGTGGTATGTGTGTGTGTGTGTGTGTGTGTGTGTGTGAGAGAGAGAGAGAGAGAGAGAGAGAGAGAGAGAGAGAGAGAGAGAGAGAGAGAGACACTACACATGTCTTAGCATGCTTGTGGAGGTTGGGGGGCAGCTTTCAGAAGTTAGTTCTCTGCCTTCCTCTTTAGTTAGAGGCAGAGTCATTCTGTTTGTTGCTGCACTGTGTATCCAGGACAGCTGCTCCACAGTACTCTCATCCCCCATCTCAGTATAAGAGACCTGGAGGGACAGATACTAGATGTGTTTTTGTTTTGTTTTGAAATGTAGGGTCCAGAGATCAGAAATCAGGTTATCAGGCTTCTATGGCAAGCTCAAGCCATCTCCTCAACCACAAATGTTGGAATTTTATTAGCCTCCCCATCTTATTTTTTTAGATAGGGTTTCATTGTGTAGTCTGGGCTGGCCTGGAACTTACAGAGCTCTGCTTGCTTCTGCCTCTGGAGTGCTGGAATTAAAGAAAAGAAGTACCATGCTTGACTTAGCCCTATATTTTTTTGAGGTATCAATAATTTGACTCTGCCAAGAATAACCTGTTTTTCCTCTGTGGTGCTTCTATCTATCACTGTGTCTTCTCTCCTTTCTTAACTGTCTTGCTTGATCTGATCTGAAATGTTGATCATTCCTAGTTCTCACTATGAATTGATTCCCCCTTCATTTTGTCCATATTCATTTATAGGAACCTCCCATGCATGGAAATCAGCCACCTCACAGTCTTTCAGATTTGTATACAGGTAAGCCTTCTCTCGTGCGTGTGTCAGGATTATGTAACCAGCAAAGTGCTCAACAGTCTCATTGACAGTTGTTACGCAGGATGTTGAAGGCAGAATTTCTATCCACATTGCTTTGTTCTTGAATTACTTATTTGGGTAGAAGGCAACAATATTCGTCCTACAGTGCCGTTACTTTTTGCTGTATACTAGAAGTCACCCCAAGACTAGTCTCCAACAACATCTGTGTGTCAGTGTACATACGCATAATCATATGTATCAAGAACGTGGGTTGAGGTCACCTGGGTTGGTTCATTTGAGTCTGCGGTCAGCCAGCAGCTGGTAATTTTGCCTGTGGTGGCAGATGACTGGCTACTGATAGGGGATGGGGCTAACTGATCTGTGGGCCCAGTATCCATCGTTCAAAAGTTAGCTCTAGCTTACTCGATGGTAGCGATCGCAGGATTCCTAAGAAGAACAGGAAGAATGAGGGAGGTCTCAGGAAGCTTGCATTGGTGCTCATAGGAGATTGCCTCTAGTTCATCCTACTGTTCAGAGCAAATCACAGGGGCAGCTTCAGGCTCAGACTTGGGGAGAAGAAGGCACTCTAACTGTTGATGGGGGAGTCTGTCTTTGGGAGCACCTTTAAAGACATACATACCATAAAGAAGTTTTGTGCCCGTGTGGCAAAGTGGGTAGCCACTTTCTAGCTCACTGCATCCATAACCCTAACGGGCTCACATCTCTCATGCTTTCCCTTTGAATCATGGCCAGCCATCAAGCCAGGATGATGTCGCCTTGATGGTGGCTCTCTCATTTGTCTATGTCTTCTACTGCTGATCAACATGTTTCTCTCACACTTGACTTTTGCATTCCTTTTCTAGGGCCAGTGTAGCAAAGTTCCAGAAACTGGGCATCCTAAACCATTAGTATTTACCTTACTAGAGTTTGAAGTCTGGAAGTCTGAGATGTTAGCAGTTTGGTTTATTTTCCAGAAGGCTTCTCTTCTTTCCCTGACGATGGTCACCTTTACCCTGCATTGCATAGGATACTCCTTTTCTATACATTTCTGCCCAAGTTTCCCTTCTTATGAGAACCCTGGTCATGTTGTATTAGGGGATATTACACTTTTTTCCCTATGAATATAATTAGATCTGCAAGGACCCTTTCTTCCCATCCCACCACATTCTGAAGACTTCAATATAAACTTAACCAAAGTAATGCTGTTAGTATAACTATCACTTCCTATCAGGTATTTTTCAACTTCATTACATTGTAAGCTGAGGAGCAGACTCAGTGGGCACCTACATAAAACTGGACATGGCGGGGCTGGAGTGATGACTCAGTGGTTAAGAGCCCTGGCCATTCTTCCAAAGGACCTGGTTCAATTCCCAGCACCCACATGGCATTTCACAACTTTCTGTAACTCCAGTCTCAGCGGATATGGCATCCTCACACAGACATACATGCAAGCAAAACCCCAATATATAAAAAATTAAACAAATCTTTAAAAAAAAAACCCAACATGGTGCACTTGTTAGTAATCTCTGCTCTGCTCTAGGGAGACGGGAAGCAGAAAGCATAGAGTCCTCAGAAGCTATCGGGCCAGCTCTCCTGATGTACCTTGTTGTTAACAAGAGAACTTGCCTTAACTAACCTAGAAGGTGAAGACTAATACTCGATGTTTTCTTCTGATCTTCATACACGTGCCAGGGTGTGCATGTGCCTGCAACCACATATGCAAACATGAAATATGCGCACACATTAAACAATGTGGTTCTAGTGATAAGGCTGAAGTCTCCATGCCTTTGTAAAATGACCAATAACAAAGTGTCACTATATTTTTTGGCCACTATTTTTATCTGCTTTTCTAGGCTCTAAGCTCTTTGAAGGTAGGACATTTGCCTTCGTGTCTTCTAAGTCATGGAACAGTAAACCTCCTGATACATAGGCACTATCTTGACCAAAACCTCCATTTTTTCTCTGCTTATGGAAAAAGAAGTGAAATTAGCAATCCTGAGAACACACTCTACCAGAGACATGATGATCTCAAGATTTATAATGTAAAGAAGAACAGCTAACGCAGGTTCTGTGCTTTAAGGCTGACCACTAACATGGATATGAAACTATTCTGGACTTCATTCGCGGCAGGATTCTAACCAGTACAGAATGACAGAAGACAGACAGAGTGGAACTTCCCAGATCTGCTGTGTAATTGCACAGGCTCTGTTAACTAAAGAAATGGGACACTTGCAAAGGACAATGATGCTAGAATTGTGTGAATTAGTCTGTGTTATTCTAAAGAAACAGACAAGATCTATCTATCTATCT